CATCGAGGCGGCGATAACAGCGGGCGGCAGTGTGACCGGGATGGTCGAAGACGGTGCCGAGGCGGGGGCCGGTCTGAAGCTGGTATTGGCAGGTGACAACACTAGAGCTGCCACCTGACACCCGAGCTGCGCGGCGCACCACCACGACCACCACCATTAGCGCTACCAGGCCACCATAGCTGCGGTGGTCCCTACGGCGGCTGCTAATGCTGCGACTGCTGCTGCTGAGGCTGCTGCTACTGCTACTGAGGTTGCTGCTGCTACTACTGCTCCAAGGCACCAGCCCCGGTCCCTCGTCTGCACCACCGTCCCACCCCCACCTCCACCACCCCACCACCCTTCCCTCCGCCATGCCCCCCCTTGGGGCGGCGGCCCTTACTCGGACGCTGCTGCGCTGAGGCCGCAGCGGCGGTCTCGGCAACAAGGGCTGTCTCGGCGACATCGGCAGAAACGTCAGAGTAAGTGCACTGGGAGGGAGCACAGCCCTGGAAGCTAGGGACTGGCGCAGTACCGCTAAACTGGGCGATAGTGCGCTGGGGGGTCTGTATCGCGGACAAGGCGGCGGCTGGCGGCTATGAGCATCTGGCGGTGACAGGCGGGCAACTACAGGCAGGCCAGCGGCAACGGGCGGGCTGGCGGCAATGGGTGGCCAGCGGGGAATGGGAGGCCAGCGGCTACTGGCGGCTGGCGGCTACAGGCAGCCAGCGACTACGAGCGGCTGGCGGCAGCAGGCGGCCAGCGGCGATGGGCGGCTGGCGGCAACGGGCGGCTGGTGGCTACGGGCGGCCAGCAGCTACACGCGGATGGTGGCAACGGGCGGTCAGCGGCTACTAGCGGCTGGCGGCTACGGGCGGCCAGCAGCTATGGGCGGTTGGCGGCAGAGGGTGGGCTGTCGGCAACGGGCGGCCAGCGGGGACAGGCGGGCTGGCGGCGACGGGCGGCCAGCGGGCTACAGGTAGCTGGCGGCAACGAGCCGGCAGCGACGTGCGGTGGGCAGCTGGTGGCTAAGGCCGGCCAGCGGGTTGGCGGCTACGGGCTGCTGGCGGCTACAGGTGGCCAGCGGCGACAGGCGGCCAACGATTACGGGCGGCGAGAGGTGGCCAGCGGGCTACGGGCAGCTGGCAGCGACGGGCGCGAGCAGCTGGCAGCTAAGGGCGGCCAGCAGGCTGGTGGCTACGGGTGGCTAGCAGCTACGCGCGGTCAGCGGCGACAGGCGACCAGCGGGCTGCGATCGACGGGCAGCAGGCAGCCGGCGGCTACGGGCGGCGGGCGGCTAGCGACGGGCGGCTAGGAACGGGCGGCTAGCGACAAGCGGCTTGGGCTAGGGCTAGGACGAGGGCGGAAGCGCGGTGGGCGGGATCCTAACCTAGCGTGATACCATCTCAGAGTAAAAAGTTTAGTAGAATAATGGGGTACATAGGAATATATTCTAAGGTATTGTACTCTATATGAGCTTGCACCTATCTAGCCTGTAACATATACAAAATATATGTTGACAACTTCTGCAGCTCAAGATCAATTTCGCGCGCTCTTGACAAAACAGTCTTCTCACCTGGTGATTTTCGCGAGCCCGTCGCCTCGTAGCGAGCTCCTCGCTATTTTCGTTGTCGAATCGATGAACCTTGTTGCCACGCTCGAAAATGTCTTCGCCGCGAGTCGATGACGTCAGCTGCCATACATGATGCAACCGAGGTTGAACAATGACGAAATCCAAAAAGCCCACATGACAACAAAATCTGGGGTTATTTTACGCGCATTGACAAAATCACCGGTCCGTGCTCGAGGGTGTGTGAGGGGGCTGATTGGGCCTTAACCAAAATCACCACGCCATGTGTGTTGGAAGGCGTGTGAGGCACTGATTGGCCCTCCACCAAATCTGGAGTCGAGCAAGATGGGTTGTTTACTGTGTGAGGGCGTCGTGACTCGTGGGCCCTTCACCAGATTTACACAACATGTGTTCGCGGGATGTTTGTGAGGGCAAGATTCCCCTTCTGCATCGTGGGCCCTTCACCAGGTTTGCGGGAAACCCCACCCGTCGCTACCAAGCATCGCTCCATGTTTCGCGGCATCTCTAGCGTGCTACGGCCCACCCGAGCGTTGCATACCTCCACTGACGCTGCCGTTACAGCCTCCAACAGTACCGAGAGACCTAGTAGCCGGAGCTCTGGTAATGGGGGCCGCTCGTTAAAGTCGAAGATTTCCCCCGTCGGAGCGCAGCACGGTGAGGGACGCCCTGCAGAGAGCGCAACGTGCCGCAGCCCCCACAACAGCCAATGGTTCTACGTCAGAACGTGATAATCGGTCGTCAGACCGGGAAACGCGGGAAGAGGTTAGGTCTCCTAGCTAGGAATGCGAGGAGAGACGCGGACGGAGGAGTGCAGTAGCAGGGGCGAGGAGTTTACCTCTCGTTTTCGCAAATAATGGCGAAGCGAGAGGACGGTTGGGGAGGAGGGCCGCGAGGGCTGCAATCGACAGCTGGAAATCGCATCAGCGCGCAGTCGCAACAGCAGGAACGGTTGAGATCGCGGCAAGGGCAGCAGCCATTTGAGCTGCCACGAAAACAGGGGCCGGCCGACCAGCAGCAGCACCCACCGCAGCATCCGCCGCTGCAGCAGCAAGTGCAGCTGGAAGATTGCCATTTTCTCCCCACATGCGCATTTCGCTGTTTTTTTTCCGCCACTTTGCTGCAGAGAGTTACTTAGAAATCCCCTCTGAACTGTCAGTGTAAATGTTGTAGAGAGAAAAAAAACCCTGGAAAATCAGAGAAAACATCGGGGGTCACTCTGATTTTTAGAGTAATGAAAAAACCACTCCCAAATTTCAGAGTAGTAAAAATCCAAAGTAGGCCCTGGATAGCAGTGCTCCTCAGTAAGGAATTACTAATTCCTTACAACCAGTGTCTCATACACTTGTTAAGTGCTTTGTTACACGTTATCGAACCAGAATGCACACAGCGCGAATTCCCATGTCGTGTGTGACAGATCCTGGATCCGCTTGTGTGCAGGGCCGCAACAATCCCTACCACCAGATCCATGTCCGCTCTCCTCTCACCTAGTCCCAGCAGGTAGGTGCTTTCCGGAAGGCGCTGGTCGCTGCGCGCCGATGGCCGACGACCACCCCGCGCAAGCTGCTGCCGCGGTCGCGTGCGGACGGGACGGACGCGGCGGGGATAGCGGAGGGCGGGGAAGGGGCGAGCACGCGGCGCGCGGGGGCGAAGGGGAGGAGGGAGGATAGCGAGGGGGAGAGGCAAGGGAAGGGGCGGAGGCGAGGCGTGGCGAGGGACGAACGGTGCGACGGACGAGGAGAGGTGAGCGACGGAGACGCGATGGCGTGACGGCAAGAGAATGATGATGATGCTGATGTGGCGGTGGTGTCAGTGGTCACGTGGGACCAAGTGACGCTGGCATGCGGCAGCAAGTGCGGGTGTGGGTTTAACCACGCGGGGCGATGCATGCCCAATCTCACCTCGCGCGTGCGCCGCATCGCCTAGTTGTCCTCCGCCGTCAGCCTCTTCCCTCCGCTCACACCCTCCGCCCTCCCCACCTTCCTCCGCTCACACCCGCCGCCCTCCCCACCTTCCCCCGCTCACTCCTTTCGCCCCCCGCTCGCCCTTTCGCCCATGCCCGCTCTTCTTCTCCCTCACTCTGCCCGTCGATCCCCTCCCCTCCCCCCAGCGTGGCGGCGTGGGCGTGCGCGCGGCTGGGCGAGCCGAAGCGGGCGCTGATGAGGCGAGCGGTGCACGCAGTGGGGGGCGACGCCGTTGCGCAGATGCTGGTGGAGGTAAGGGGGGCGGGGGGGAGGGGAGGGGGGAGGGCAGGGGAAGAGGAGGTGAGGGCGCGGGAGATGGGGTTTGGGGACGGCAGAGGGATGGGTGGAGGAGAGGAGATGAGGAGAGGGGGTGCGGTGTGAGGGAGAGGGAGTGAGGTGTGAGGGATAGGGGAGAGGGCCAGGGATGGTGCTGGAATGGCTTGGTGGTGGCGGTATGGATGGCACGTTTATGCCATGGGTGCACTGTGGGATGGATGGCATGGGACGCTACGGTGGAAGGCGTTGCTGCTCGTGGCGGTCGGAATGCAGTGGATGCCCGTAGTGGAGGGACCCAACCCCAAACCCCAAACCTCGAACCTGTGTCCAAATTCCGGGTCATAATTTGTTTTGCTCCCATTCCTCCGTTTCCTCCTCCTCGCCCCGCCAGGTGGACGCGGTGCAGCGCTGTGGAGGGCAGCTCACGGCGGATGGCAAGAGGCGCCGCACTCCGGGCGGCGTGTTCTGGAACGTTTTGAGGGCGAGAGTCAGTGCTGACGTGTACATCGAAATCATGGCGCAGGAGAGAGACGTGCAGGTATGGGCAGAGAGAGACGTGCAGTTGGGAGAAGAGGGAGCCAAGGACCCGCCTGCCTCTCCACATGTGTGCCTCCCGTCGTCTCCACCTCGCTTCACCTTGTGTGTCGCCATGCCATTGCCTGCGTACCTCTGTGCGTGCCCTGCGGCGCCATTGCCCTCTTTCCCACCGGTGCGTTGCAGAAGCGGCGGGACAGAGGGCAGGCGCGCAAGAAGAGGAGGAAGCAGCAGCAGCAGCAGGGGAAGGGCGTGAGTGGGTCCGGATGTCTTGCCTCCTGTAGTGCTGCCAGTGCCAATAAGGAAGGCAGTGCGTTGGACGAGCCGTGGTGTGATGCCAGCCATGGCAGTGATGGCAGCGATGGCATGAGCCTCTCGGTGGACGGCTTGAGTGATGCTGACCATGATGCTCTTGATGATGCTCATGCTGCCACTGATGCTGCTGATGTGGCGCAGGATGCGTGGACTGGGCGGCATGCAAGAAATGGCATGTCTGCCCATGTGGATGGCAGGCTGCAGGTGGGGCACGGCGTGAGGGTGCGTGGAGGGGACATGGTGGATGGCATGGCGGCGGTCAGATCGGGGCAGGGGGTGGGCAGAGAGACGGGAAGGGGGGGTGGGCCAGAGGGAGCAGAAGAGGTGGAGGCGATGGAAGGGGAGGAGGAGAGGCAGGAGGGGTGGGGATGCGGAGGAGAGCGGTGGAAGAAGGGGAGATGGACGGAGGACAGTGCGGCAGAGGCGAGGCAGGAGTAGGTGGTGTGGGCGAGGGGGCGAGTGGCAGTGGGGGGAGGGTGGCGGACAAGGGGAGGAGAGCGGCAGGTTGAGAGGCAGGGAGGGGGGCGAGGGGGTGGTGGAGGAGGCGGGGCAGCGGGGTGAGGGCAAGGGGACGGCGGGCATGTGGATGTGGAGGAGAGGGTGCGGCTGGACGTGGCAGTGGCGTCGGGCGCTGTGAAGCAGGTGCACCACGCATGGCGCTGCGCTGTCATGGCAGGCGGGGGCGCAGGGGGAGAGGACGGGTGGGGGGAGGGGAGCAGGGAGAGGAGGGCGAGTGGCGAGCAGGCGATGCGGCAGTGGGGCTGGGCGCGCCTGCTGGAGCCGCTGCTCTGGCGGTGGGTGGTGAGGGGGAGGGTGTGCGTGGCGGTGAGGAGAGGAAGGGTGGGGATGGCATGGAGGTGGATGGTGAGTGTGAGGAGCAGCAGCAGGGGGGGCGGGGGAGAGGTGCTGGCAGTGGAACGGCATGGTACACATGCTGCTGCCAGCAGCATTGCGGGTGAGGGGGCCGCAGTTTCGACCCCTCTGCCATGCGATGCCTCTGAGAGCACTGCAGATAGACATGGCAGTGCGGGAGGTGAGTTCGAGGCAGCAGCAGCTGTGGAAGCAGTGCACAGGGCAGGGGAGGGCGGGCAGAGGGTGCCTGTGAAGCAGCGCCTGCGCATGCCAGTCACATATGATGACGTGCCTCTTGTGGCTGAGGGAGCAGTTAGAAGCTGCCACGGTTTGAAGGATGGCTGGTTGGTTCCATGGAAGCTTCGTGTAGTAGAGTCGGTTGGTACGCTGCTGAAACTGGCAGAATCGTCTCCAAGCAGTGTAAAACCTTGAACTGTTCGATTTCAACATCCATCGAAAGAAGCAATTATGGTGGCTTTTGTGTAGTATAAATATGTTACTGGATCAGCTCTCAACTAGAGCTGAAACATAGAATGGACCACCAATGAAGTGATATCATGATAATTATGTGCAGAAAATTCCCCCCACACGGTAGGCTCTAATGCCCAATTAGTCGCTTTGTATAGTTTTGTGATCATAACTTGGTCATATAAATAGCTCAATATATATATAATTTTATGTATATTTTAGAGTGTTGAAGTTCATACCTTTCGAACAGGCTTCGTTAGTGGTGCTCCAAGACCAGAACGACGTGCTATCCAAGAACGAGATCTCGAAGCCGCTTGGAGCGACTCCAAACAGCACGATGTCTGTACATTTTATGCACATTTTCCGCGCCTCACGGTTTGGATGTTCTAGCTAGCAATAGAACCCTAAGAGCGTATTTTTGGGTCACGAATCGTTCTAAAACGCGAAGTACACCATTTCTCCTCTACTGTCCCACCCTGAACAGTCCAAATTGTAATCCCACCTGTCAAGTTCTCAGCATGACTCGCATTGACGCTGAACCTGATTGGCTGGAGTCTGAGCGATAGCGAATTGATAAGTCGTATTTCGATAATTGCGAGAATCCAAGCTTGGAGGTCGCGCAGGCAAACTATATAGTGCATGAGCGAGAATTTGTAACCAAGTGAGAATTCGTAATTACATATCATATGCGATTGGTGCAACGATGGCAAGCGCAAACTTTTTGCAGGTGCAATTATTATGTAGGTGCAACACCCACGTATGCAACCCGACCAATGGAAACAAGTGTAGACATCATGTGAAAAAATTGTCGCCATCAATATAAATCGTATAATCCACGCTCATGCGCTCCTGAATAGTCAACGCCACATTCTAATCGCAATGTGTCATAAATACCAAGAAATCTTTTTGTTGCGATCCATCCATTTACTGGCTGACGCGGAAACACCACGCTAGCCAATAACCGCACGCCATCTACGTTGACGGAATCATATGAAGTTCGGCCACGTACTCTTCCTTGTCAACGTGTGCTGTAATTTATAAGTGGTGGTGTTTTTAATTGTCGTTTCACATTGTTATGTGGTATTTCCAACCTAAAATAGTTTCGAATATGTCTATAGTCGACTCAATTGATAATCTTGAGTCAAACCTTGTTTTGTTCTTGTGGTAATGCATTAATTAGCGTGCGTATATGAAACCTAAAGTGGACACCAAGGCTTATGTTTGTTTTTTTCGGGCACCTGTCAGTTCCAGGTATCTTGCCAAAGCTACATGTTAGAATCCGTATTGAGTACTATATTTTGTAAAAAAAAACCCATCAAATCCGGGTTTCACAGCTAGTTCTGCCAAAAGTCGCCCGTCGGAATCTGGCTTCCATGTTTTTGTAAAAGAAAGCCGTGGGAATCCGAATTCTGCAAATACCTCACCAGTTATTTTGCTGAAATCCGGGTAGTTCCCCATAAAAAATACGCCTTGGTGGACACGCCATGCGAACACCTCGCGATATGCCTACGTGGACCTCGTCGCATCTAATGACAGCGTCCCCGCCTATGACAGCTATGCATACGACATCGTCCCCGCCCCTGCCAACTACGCATACGACAACGCTCCTACTTTCTTGGGAAGGCTACAAGCAAATTTGCCCGGGGCATACCGTCTTATGCGCGAAGTGCCTCATTCCAACATTCTTGGACTTTGCACTACCGGAATACGATATGTATCTAGGTTTTTTATAGTGGGTTTTCCCCTACAATGTCACGTTTGCCCGGGTTTGGCTGTTTCCTTCTTACAAGATCACGCCGCGTGCAAAAAACGTGGGACACAATAGGAGAAAATGTGTATCACAGCGTGAATAGTGAGAAGAATCAAGATAAAGACAAAATAGTATGATTGTATAATTGAGTAGGACAAGAATGCAATAGTAAAATTATAAGACGTATATATGAAATTATAATGTGCTTGTAAAGAATTGGAAAAAAGGTACTCAAATGAGTAAAAGGGGACTTGTGAAGAGAGAAATGCTTGTAAAGAAGAGTGAGAGACTTACTTATATATATCTTATAAGGTAGAGAAGTTGTAGAAACTTGGGAGCGGTTCTTGATAGAGGAAGACTTGCACTTGGGAAAAGGGTCTTGAGCTTAGAAGAGGACCACAAACTTAAGAAGGGACTAGAATCTTGGATATGGTTGAACGAGAGGGTCTTATACTTGAAGAGGGAGTCTTCCTACAAGCTTGTGGCTTGGTAATACATCTTATACTCAAGTTGGGTATAAGATGGTCTAGTGTTTGATTACTTTGCTGATCAGGAACTTTGTGTGAGAACTCTGAGAGCATAAACTTATATGAAAGATGACAAAGTACATGCCTTATAATCCATGGTGGATATAAGGAAATGCATGAGAAGGGTAGCATAGTAATACCATCTCTAGAGACATAGAACATGAATGCTAACAAGGAGCCTTTGTAGTGGTGTGAACTTAAGGAGCTTGAAGAAGACTTGAAGGTGGGCTTGAAGGAGAGGAGCTTGGAGATGCCTTGTTGAACTTTGAGAAACTTCTTGAGACGTTGGAGAAGATGAGTAGTAGCGGAGCATGTGATGGTTGTTGAGCCTTTGGTGACATGGAGTTGTAAACCATGTGATGTTAGAGAGAAACTTGGATGAGTTGGAAAAGAAGGAAAGGAGGAGGAATGAAAGCTTTGTTGAGTTGGAAGATGAGGAGTGTACGGAATCATGAGAGTCTTGTGTGATGATATGGCAACTTGGATGACTTGGGATAGGAAGGAAGGAAGGAATAAGGGACATGTGATGGTTGATGAGTAGGGAAAGGAGGAATGTGCTTGAGGCACATGTGAGGAGGATTATTGGTTGGAGTAGATGACTTGGAGAATTCTTGATGAGTGGGAAAAGAGATCACATAGAAAATGATGAAGAGTCATGTGCATTGAGGTAGGAGTTGGACATGAATAGGAGGATTTGTTGGAAGCTTGGTTAAGGTGGACTATGAATAATTATGAGAGTTGGGGAAAATTAAGGAGTAGTTGGGAGGCATTAGGTTGGAGGAGATGAGCTGGAAAAGTTGGGTTGGAAATTTGGTAGGTAGAGTAGGTTTGGTTGGTGGGAAATGGGTTGGAGTAGAAGGTGTTTAAATTGGTTGGTGAAGATTTGTAACGAGCGGTTTTGGAGGGGGAGGGGTTGGAGTGGCGAGAAAAAATGTGGCACAACAGGATCGCCGTTTCCTTCTTACAGGATCGCGCCGCGTGCAAAAAACGTGGGACACAATAGGAGAAAAGGTGTAACACAGCGTGAATAGAAGATCCTTTTCCAGCGTGAATGGAATTTCACATGCCTGCATTGGGTGACAGAACCTGAACCCCTTGCTTCCACTGCGGAACCACGCTTCCCCTCCTCCCGCGCCTCGCTCCCTCGTCCCCCGCGTACCCAGGCCGCGTGCACGCAAGCGCTCTCGTTCCTTTCATGTCGGGCGCGGCGCTCAGGAGATGGTGAATGGGGGCGGCCTGCCCATCCGATTCCGCTATAAGCCTCTCGATACAAGCGCCGTGCCAAACCACCAGCAGCCATTCACCTCTCTGACCGTTCCCCGCAAAATGCCGCCGCACGCCAGGACCAGCGCCGCGCGGAGGGCGGCGGGCGTCCCAGGCTCCGCGCGCAGCTTGCGCTACTTCCCCCTGGTGGGCCCCATCGCGCTCGGCGCGCTCTACCTGCTCTTCCTCCTCACGCGCTGGGGGCGAAACCCTCCGCCGTGGGCGCAAGCACGCCGTGGTGAGTGGCGGAGGGCATGGCGGCGACGACACAGGGCGGGCGGCGGCGCATTACAGGGCCGCGAAGGCGGGCGTGGGGGTGGGGAGGGGAATGAGGGAAGGTGCCATGGGGGGAATGGGGGGAATGGGGGGAATGGGGGGAATGGGGGGAATGGGGGGAATGGGGTGGGACGACGGAAGGGCTGTGAGAAGGAGCGGCATCACCTGGGGCACATCCCACCTCTCATTCGCTCATGCCCTCTCCGCCTCTTCCTCCTCCACCCGCCCCTTCCCCCCCCCCCCCCCACCCCCCACCCCTCCAGGCTCTCCATCGCCTACATGCCCTCGGGGGAGGGCTACCTGCTGCTCCTCGCTCCCCCGCGCTACTCCGCCCCCTCCTCCCCTTCCCCCTACCCCCCGCCTGAGCGCCAGCAGCAGCGCCTGCGGCTGCCCGCCATGGAGGTGGGCGGCGTGCGGGTGGAGGGGCTTGCTGTGGGCGGCAGGGGACGGACTGCCAGCTGGCAGGGCGGGGTGGCGGGAGGAGGGGAGGGGGCGGGTGCAGCGGAAGGTGAGTGTGTGGAGGGAGGTGTGTGTGTGGAGGGAGGTGTGTGTGTGGAGGGAGGTGTGTGTGTGGAGGGAGGTGTGTGTGTGGAGGGAGGTGTGTGTGTGGAGGGAGGTGTGTGTGTGGAGGGAGGTGTGTATGTGGAGGGAGGTGTGTGTGTGGAGGGAGTGAAGAGCGGGGCATGCTGCATGGCACCAGGTGTCTCTGCAGGTCTCCCTTGCTCTGCAGGTCTCCCTTGCTCTGCAGGTCTCCCTTGCTCTGCAGGTCTCCCTTGCTCTGAAACGAATCATGCCCCCAATTGCTCCACCACCCTGTCCCTTGAGCCTCCCTCATCTCGTCCCCTGAGCCTCCCTCATCTCGTCCCCTGAGCCTCCCTCATCTCGTCCCCTGCCTGCATCGCACCGCTCTCACCATGCCTCTCATCTCCCATCCTTCTCCCCTCACCCTGCCCGCGCTCTCCATCAACCCCACACCACTGCAGCCCAGCCTGCCGCCCCAAATGCCTCTGCCTCCCCCACAGCCGCCCTGCCCGCGCCCCCCTCGGTGGTCGTGACGGCGAGCCGGCTGAGCGCACACGCCGTGGTGATGACGTGGGAGCTGAGCAACCCCCTCATGTTCCCCGATGGGGTGGACTTCACCGTGCGGGTGAGAGGGGGGGGGTTGACGGTACGGGAGGAGGTGAAACGGACGTGGGGGTTGAGGGGACTTTCCCACTGCACTCGGGTGGGGTGCAGTGATCGAGGATTCACCACCTTCCCCTGCCACACTCATCTCTCCTTTGCTCTACACGCCCTCATGCTGCCAAGCAGACACCGCACCATGCACCGTGCACCGTGCACCATGCACCATACACCACGCACCATGCACCATGCACCATGCACCTGCACCAAACACCATGCACCATGCACTATGCACCACACACCATGCACCATGCACTACGCACCACACACCATGCACCATGCACCATGCATGCACCATCCACCATCCACCATGCACCATGCACCATCCTCCATGCACCATGCATGCACCATCCACCATGCGCCATGCACCATGCATGCACCATCCACCTTGCACCACGCACCATGCACCATGCACCATCCACCATGCGCCATGCACCATGAACCATGCGCCATGGACCATGCACCATGCACCATGCGCCATGCACCATGCACTATGCGCGCCATGCGCCATGCACCATGCGCCATGCACCATGCGCCATAAGCCATGCACCATGCACCATGCGCCGTGCACCATGCGCCATGCCCCATGCGCCATGCGCCATGCACCATGCGCCATGCACATGCGCCATGCACCATGTGCCATGCACCATGCGCCATGCGCCGTGCACCATGCGCCATGCACCATGCGCCATGCGCCATGCACCATGCACCATGCGCCATGCGCCATGCGCCATGCACCATGCGCCATGCGCCATGCACCATGCGCCATGCACCATGCGCCATGCACCATGCCCCATGCACCATGCGCCATGTGCCCTGCACCATGCGCCATGTGCCCTGCACCATGCGCCATGCACCATGCACCATGCGCCATGCACCATGCGCCGTGCACCATGCGCCATGCGCCGTGCACCATGCGCCATGCACCATGCGCCATGTGCCATGCACCATGCGCCATGCACCATGCACCATGCGCCATGCACCATGCGCCATGCGCCATGCACCATGCGCCATGCGCCATGCACCATGCGCCATGCGCCATGCACCATGCACCATGCGCCGTGCACATTTGCCTTCGCATTCATTATGGTGCTCAACACAGTCGTCTCGCTCTTGAAGCGCATGGGCTTGGCAAGCAACGCATGCACCGCGGACACGCCTGTCATGCACCGCGGACACGCCTGTCATGCACCGCGGACACGCCTGGCATGCACCGCGGACACGCCTGGCATGCACCGCGGACACGCCTGGCATGCACCGCAGACACGCCTGGCATGCACCGCGGACACGCGTGGCATGCACCGCGGACACGCCTGGCATGCACCGCGGACACGCCTGGCATGCACCGCGGACACGCCTGTCATGCACCGTGGACACGCGTGTCATGCACCTTGGACACGCCTGGCATGCACCGCGGACACGCCTGTCATGCACCGCGGACACGCGTGTCATGCACCGCGGACACGCCTGGCATGCACCGCGGACACGCCTGTCATGCACTGCGGACACGCCTGTCATGCACCGCGGACACGCCTGGCATGCACCGCGGACACGCCTGTCATGCACCGCGGACACGCGTGTCATGCACCGCGGACACGCCTGGCATGCACCGCGGACACGCCTGGCATGCACCGCGGACACGCGTGTCATGCACCGCGGACACGCGTGTCATGCACCGCGGACACGCCTGGCATGCACCGCGGACACGCGTGTCATGCACCGCGGACACGCCTGGCATGCACCGCGGACAGGCCTGTCATGCACCGCGGACACGCCTGGCATGCACCGCGGACACGCCTGTCATGCACCGCGGACACGCCTGTCATGCACCGCGGACACGCCTGGCATGCACCGCGGACACGCTTGGCATGCATCGTCTTGAAGTTTGCCATTCCCCCCCTCAGATAGCAGACAATGCATCAGGGTGGTACGGTGGCGGAGAGCGGTTCAATGCGGTGAACCAGAGGGGCAATGTGCTGCCCATGTTCTCACTCGACCGCTTCACTGACGTGCCTGTAAGCCTGACTATAAGCGTGTGACTGTAAGGGTGTCAATGTAAGCGTGTGACTGTATGCATGTGCCTGTAAGCCTGTGGTAGTAGCGAGTGAGTGTATGCTTGTGAATGTAAGTGTGTGTCTATGCATGTGACTTCAGGTATGCATGTCTGTTGTAGTTGTGCCTTGCTTTGGGTGTACATCTTCGCCTCTGTTCGTCTAATCTATGTCCAAACCTTTGTCTCACTCCCTTCCGTCTCTTCTTTGAATGTTAAAGCCCACCACCCCCCTTGCTGCTGGCCTGTCGTGTTTTTTGCCACTCCCTCCCTGCCAACGCTTGCCCGGCCTTGTGTCGTCCCTCTGAGTGCCCCCCCAGGCGCACCGCAGCTACAAGCCGGTGCCGTTTGTGATGAGCAGCAGCGGGTACGGCGTGTGGGTGCAGTCGTACGCCAACGGCACCTTCAGCCTCGCCACCCACGACGAGCCGGATGTGCTGGTACGCCACCCACGACGAGCCGGATGTGCTGGTACGCCACCCACGACGAGCCGGATGTGCTGGTACGCCACCCACGACGAGCCGGATGTGCTGGTACGCCACCCACGACGAGCCGGATGTGCTGGTACGCCACCCACGACGAGCCGGATGTGCTGGTACGCCACCCACGACGAGCCGGATGTGCTGGTACGCCACCCACGACGAGCCGGATGTGCTGGTACGCCACCCACGACGAGCCGGATGTGCTGGTACGCCACCCACGACGAGCGGATGTGCTGGTACGCCACCCACGACGAGCCGGATGTGCTGGTACGCCACCCACGACGAGCCGGATGTGCTGGTACGCCACCCACGACGAGCCGGATGTGCTGGTACGCCACCCACGACGAGCCGGATGTGCTGGTACGCCACCCACGACGAGCCGGATGTGCTGGTACGCCACCCACGACGAGCCGGATTGCTGGTACGCCACCCGCGGGGGGGGACGCCCACGACGAGCCGGATGTGCTGGTACGCCACCCACGACGAGCCGGATGTGCTGGTACGCCACCCACGACGAGCCGGATGTGCTGGTACGCCACCCACGACGAGCCGGATGTGCTGGTACGCCACCCACGACGAGCCGGATGTGCTGGTACGCCACCCACGACGAGCCGGATGTGCTGGTACGCCACCCACGACGAGCCGGATGTGCTGGGTACGCCACCCACGACGAGCCGGATGTGCTGGTACGCCACCCACGACGAGCCGGATGTGCTGGGTACGCCACCCACGACGAGCCGGATGTGCTGGTACGCCACCCACGACGAGCGGATGTGCTGGTACGCCACCCACGACGAGCCGGATGTGCTGGTACGCCACCCACGACGAGCCGGATGTGCTGGTACGCCACCCACGACGAGCCGGATGTGCTGGTACGCCACCCACGACGAGCCGGATGTGCTGGTACGCCACCCACGACGAGCCGGATGTGCTGGTACGCCACCCACGACGAGCCGGATGTGCTGGTACGCCACCCACGACGAGCCGGATGTGCTGGTACGCCACCCACGACGAGCCGGATGTGCTGGTACGCCACCCACGACGAGCCGGATGTGCTGGTACGCCACCCACGACGAGCCGGATGTGCTGGTACGCCACCCACGACGAGCCGGATGTGCTGGTACGCCACCCACGACGAGCCGGATGTGCTGGTACGCCACCCACGACGAGCCGGATGTGCTGGTACGCCACCACGGACGAGCCGGATGTGCTGGTACGCCACCCACGACGAGCCGGATGTGCTGGTACGCCACCCACGACGAGCCGGATGTGCTGGTACGCCACCCACGACGAGCCGGATGTGCTGGTACGCCACCCACGACGAGCCGGATGTGCTGGTACGCCACCCACGACGAGCCGGATGTGCTGGTACGCCACCCACGACGAGCCGGATGTGCTGGTACGCCACCCCACGACGAGCCGGATGTGCTGGTACGCCACCCACGACGAGCCGGATGTGCTGGTACGCCACCCACGACGGAGCCGGATGTGCTGGTACGGCCACCCACGACGAGCCGGATGTGCTGGTACGCCACCCACGACGAGCCGGATGTGCTGGTACGCCACCCACGACGAGCCGGATGTGCTGGTACGCCACCCACGACGAGCCGGATGTGCTGGTACGCCACCCACGACGAGCCGGATGTGCTGGTACGCCACCCACGACGAGCCGGATGTGCTGGTACGCCACCCACGACGAGCCGGATGTGCTGGTACGCCACCCACGACGAGCCGGATGTGCTGGTACGCCACCCACGACGAGCCGGATGTGCTGGTACGCCACCCACGACGAGCCGGATGTGCTGGTACGCCACCCACGACGAGCCGGATGTGCTGGTACGCCACCCACGACGAGCCGGATGTGCTGGTACGCCACCCACGACGAGCCGGATGTGCTGGTACGCCACCCACGACGAGCCGGATGTGCTGGTACGCCACCCACGACGAGCCGGATGTGCTGGTACGCCACCCACGACGAGCCGGATGTGCTGGTACGCCACCCACGACGAGCCGGATGTGCTGGTACGCCACCCACGACGAGCCGGATGTGCTGGTACGCCACCCACGACGAGCCGGATGTGCTGGTACGCCACCCACGACGAGCCGGATGTGCTGGTACGCCACCCACGACGAGCCGGATGTGCTGGTACGCCACCCACGACGAGCCGGATGTGCTGGTACGCCACCCACGACGAGCCGGATGTGCTGGTACGCCACCCACGACGAGCCGGATGTGCTGGTACGCCACCCACGACGAGCCGGATGTGCTGGTACGCCACCCCACGACGAGCCGGATGTGCTGGTACGCCACCCACGACGAGCCGGATGTGCTGGTACGCCACCCACGACGAGCCGGATGTGCTGGTACGCCACCCACGACGAGCCGGATGTGCTGGTACGCCACCCACGACGAGCCGGATGTGCTGGTACGCCACCCACGACGAGCCGGATGTGCTGGTACGCCACCCACGACGAGCCGGATGTGCTGGTACGCCACCCACGCGGAGCCGGATGTGCTGGTACGCCACCCACGACGAGCCGGATGTGCTGGTACGCCACCCACGACGAGCCGGATGTGCTGGTACGCCACCCACGACGAGCCGGATGTGCTGGTACGCCACCCACGACGAGCCGGATGTGCTGGTACGCCACCCACGACGAGCCGGATGTGCTGGTACGCCACCCACGACGAGCCGGATGTGCTGGTACGCCACCCACGACGAGCCGGATGTGCTGGTACGCCACCCACGACGAGCCGGATGTGCTGGTACGCCACCCACGACGAGCCGGATGTGCTGGTACGCCACCCACGACGAGCCGGATGTGCTGGTACGCCACCCACGACGAGCCGGATGTGCTGGTACGCCACCCACGACGAGCCGGATGTGCTGGTACGCCACCCACGACGAGCCGGATGTGCTTGGTACGCCACCCACGACGAGCCGGATGTGCTGGTACGCCACCCACGACGAGCCGGATTTTTGTGCTGGTACGCCACCCACGACGAGCCGGATGTGCTGGTACGCCACCCACGACGAGCCGGATGTGCTGGTACGCCACCCACGACGAGCCGGATGTGCTGGTACGCCACCCACGACGAGCCGGATGTGCTGGTACGCCACCCACGACGAGCCGGATGTGCTGGTACGCCACCCACGACGAGCCGGATGTGCTGGTACGCCACCCACGACGAGCCGGATGTGCTGGTACGCCACCCACGACGAGCCGGATGTGCTGGTACGCCACCCACGACGAGCCGGATGTGCTGGTACGCCACCCACGACGGACGGACGAGCCGGATGTGCTGGTACGCCACCCACGACGAGCCGGATGTGCTGGTACGCCACCCACGACGAGCCGGATGTGCTGGTACGCCACCCCACGACGAGCCGGATGTGCTGGTACGCCACCCACGACGAGCCGGATGTGCTGGTACGCCACCCACGACGAGCCGGATGTGCTGGTACGCCACCCACGACGAGCCGGATGTGCTGGTACGCCACCCACGACGAGCCGGATGTGCTGGTACGCCACCCACGACGAGCCGGATGTGCTGGTACGCCACCCACGACGAGCCGGATGTGCTGGTACGCCACCCACGACGAGCCGGATGTGCTGGTACGCCACCCACGACGAGCCGGATGTGCTGGTACGCCACCCACGACGAGCCGGATGTGCTTGCCGGTTACGCCACCCACGACGAGCCGGATGTGCTGGTACGCCACCCACGACGAGCCGGATGTGCTGGTACGCCACCCACGACGAGCCGGATGTGCTGGTACGCCACCCACGACGAGCCGGATGTGCTGGTACGCCACCCACGACGAGCCGGATGTGCTGGTACGCCACCCACGACGAGCCGGATGTGCTGGTACGCCACCCACGACGAGCCGGATGTGCTGGTACGCCACCCACGACGAGCCGGATGTGCTGGTACGCCACCCACGACGAGCCGGATGTGCTGGTACGCCACCCACGACGAGCCGGATGTGCTGGTACGCCACCCACGACGAGCCGGAATGTGCTGGTACGCCACCCACGACGAGCCGGATGTGCTGGTACGCCACCCACGACGAGCCGGATGTGCTGGTACGCCACCCACGACGAGCCGGATGTGCTGGTACGCCACCCACGACGAGCCGGATGTGCTGGTACGCCACCCACGACGAGCCGGGATGTGTGGTTGGGGGGATGTGCTGGTACGGCCACCCACGACGAGCCGGATGTGCTGGTACGCCACCCACGACGAGCCGGATGTGCTGGTACGCCACCCACGACGAGCCGGATGTGCTGGTACGCCACCCACGACGAGCCGGATGTGCTGGTACGCACCCAACGACGAGCCCGGATGTGCTGGTACGCCACCACGACGAGCCGGATGTGCTGGTACGCCACCCACGACGAGCCGGATGTGCTGGTACGCCACCCACGACGAGCCGGATGTGCTGGTACGCCACCCACGACGAGCCGGATGTGCTGGTACGCCACCCACGACGAGCCGGATGTGCTGGTACGCCACCCACGACGAGCCGGATGTGGCTGGTTACGCCACCCACGACGCCGATCTGGTACGCCCCCACGAGCCGGATGTGCTGGTACGCCACCCACGACGAGGCCGGGATGTGCTGGTACGCCACACCCACGGACGAGCCGGATGTGCTGGTACGCCACCCACGACGAGCCGGATGTGCTGGTACGCCACCCACGACGAGCCGGATGTGCTGGTACGCCACCCACGACGAGCCGGATGTGCTGGTACGCCACCCACGACGAGCCGGATGTGCTGGTACGCCACCCACGACGAGCCGGATGTGCTGGTACGCCACCCACGACGAGCCGGATGTGCTGGTACGCCACCCACGACGAGCCGGATGTGCTGGTACGCCACCCACGACGAGCCGGATGTGCTGGTACGCCACCCACGACGAGCCGGATGTGCTGGTACGCCACCCACGACGAGCCGGATGTGCTGGTACGCCACCCACGACGAGCCGGATGTGCTGGTACGCCACCCACGACGAGCCGGATGTGCTGGTACGCCACCCACGACGAGCCGGATGTGCTGGTACGCCACCCACGACGAGCCGGATGTGCTGGTACGCCACCCACGACGAGCCGGATGTGCTGGTACGCCACCACGACGAGCCGGATGTGCTGGTACGCCACCCACGACGAGCCGGATGTGCTGGTACGCCACCCACGACGAGCCGGATGTGCTGGTACGCCACCCACGACGAGCCGGATGTGCTGGTACGGCCACCCACGACGAGCCGGATGTGCTGGTACGCCACCCACGACGAGCCGGATGTGCTGGTACGCCACCCACGACGAGCCGGATGTGCTGGTACGCCACCCACGACGAGCCGGATGTGCTGGTACGCCACCCACGAGCGGATGTGCGGCGCCACCCACGACGAGCCGGATGTGCTGGTACGCCACCCACGACGAGCCGGATGTGCTGGTACGCCACCCACGACGAGCCGGATGTGCTGGTACGCCACCCACGACGAGCCGGATGTGCTGGTACGCCACCCACGACGAGCCGGATGTGCTGGTACGCCACCCACGACGAGCCGGATGTGCTGGTACGCCACCCACGACGAGCCGGATGTGCTGGTACGCCACCCACGACGAGCCGGATGTGCTGGTACGCCACCCACGACGAGCCGGATGTGCTGGTACGCCACCCACGACGAGCCGGATGTGCTGGTACGCCACCCACGACGAGCCGGATGTGCTGGTACGCCACCCACGACGAGCCGGATGTGCTGGTACGCCACCCACGACGAGCCGGATGTGCTGGTACGCCACCCACGACGAGCCGGATGTGCTGGTACGCCACCCACGACGAGCCGGATGTGCTGGTACGCCACCCACGACGAGCCGGATGTGCTGGTACGCCACCCACGACGAGCCGGATGTGCTGGTACGCCACCCACGACGAGCCGGATGTGCTGGTACGCCACCCACGACGAGCCGGATGTGCTGGTACGCCACCCACGACGAGCCGGATGTGCTGGTACGCCACCCACGACGAGCCGGGATGTGCTGGTACGCCACCCACGACGAGCCGGATGTGCTGGTACGCCACCCACGACGAGCCGGATGTGCTGGTACGCCACCCACGACGAGCCGGATGTGCTGGTACGCCACCCACGACGAGCCGGATGTGCTGGTACGCCACCCACGACGAGCCGGATGTGCTGGTACGCCACCCACGACGAGCCGGATGTGCTGGTACGCCCCCCCCCATGTCTGGTACGCCACCCACGACGAGCCGGATGTGCTGGTACGCCACCCACGACGAGCCGGATGTGCTGGTACGCCACCCACGACGAGCCGGATGTGCTGGTACGCCACCCCACGACGAGCCGGATGTGCTGGTACGCCACCCACGACGAGCCGGATGTGCTGGTACGCCACCCACGACGAGCCGGATGTGCTGGTACGCCACCACGACGAGCCGGATGTGCTGGTACGCCACCCACGACGAGCCGGATGTGCTGGTACGCCACCCACGACGAGCCGGATGTGCTGGTACGCCACCCACGACGAGCCGGATGTGCTGGTACGCCACCCACGACGAGCCGGATGTGCTGGTACGCCACCCACGACGAGCCGGATGTGCTGGTACGCCACCCACGACGAGCCGGATGTGCTGGTACGCCACCCACGACGAGCCGGATGTGCTGGTACGCCACCCACGACGAGCCGGATGTGCTGGTACGCCACCCACGACGAGCCGGATGTGCTGGTACGCCACCCACGACGAGCCGGATGTGCTGGTACGCCACCCACGACGAGCCGGATGTGCTGGTACGCCACCCACGACGAGCCGGATGTGCTGGTACGCCACCCACGACGAGCCGGATGTGCTGGTACGCCACCCACGACGAGCCGGATGTGCTGGTACGCCACCCACGACGAGCGGATGTGCTGGTACGCCACCCACGACGAGCCGGATGTGCTGGTACGCCACCCACGACGAGCCGGATGTGCTGGTACGCCACCCACGACGAGCCGGATGTGCTGGTACGCCACCCACGACGAGCCGGATGTGCTGGTACGCCACCCACGACGAGCCGGATGTGCTGGTACGCCACCCACGACGAGCCGGATGTGCCGGTACGCCACTGTGCGCTGCTTGGCTTCATGCGTGCGCCTGCACTTGTCAGCTCCTTCAGCCTTGCCCGCAAAGACAAGTCACGAGCGGAACGTGCTGGTATGCGCGTGCATGGTGCATGCATTGATACGCTCGGGTGCATGCTGGTTGGTGTGTGCTGACTTCCCAATGACCATGCGTGCCAGTGATATGTGGATGGCACGTGCTGCATGCATATGAGCTGGGCAAAGCACCGTTACACACCCACGCCCCCATCGCTACTCTACCCCCTTCATCTCTACTCTACCCCCTTCATCTCTACTACCCCGCACTCCCTGCCCACTCCCCTCTCCCTTCCCCCCCACAGGCCATCCGTTTACCGCGAGCAGCAGCTGCGGGTGGTGATCATATCGGGCCCCTCGCTGCTCGCCGTGCTCTCCGAGTTCACACGCCTCTCAGGCCGCCCCTCCCTGCCGCCCGATTGGGCCTTTGCGCCCTGGAAGGGGCGCGACGTGCACTTCAACTGCTCGCAGGTGCTTCACGCTGTGGCTGGGCGTGTGGGTTAAGCAGCTCTGAAATGTGTTGATGTGAGCGTGTGAGCATGTGCCCGTGATTGCCGGAGTGTCCTTGCAGCGCTGCTCCGCTGCTCCAATGGAGGGCCGTCTGGGGGATGGCATGAGCTGCACTGTTGAGCATGTGCCTTCCCCGCACAGCCAACCAGCCAATGACACCCTGAAATCAGCCAATGACACCCCTGAACTGAGCCTGCACTGCCTTTTCCGCCTGCCTGTGTGTGCCTTGCACCGATGACAGGTGGTGGAAGATGCGGAGAAGCTGCGGCAGCAGGGCATCCCGGGGTCGGTGATGCTGATAGACAGCCCGTGGGAGACGGCGTACAACGACTTCACCATCAACCGCCTGCAGTTTGACGACCCCGAGGACATGTTCCTGCGCCTCCAGGAGCTGGGGTGAGGCCGCCGCACTGCCTGCCGTGCATGGCTGCTCAACACGGCACTGACATCTCTGACTTCCTCAGCAGCACCTCGCTCACCTCTTTCATTCCAGAGCGTTTTGGGTGGCACTGCCCCCCCTACCATCCTCACTCTCGCCTGCTCCCTTCCTCCCCACCACCTTCCCCCCCACTCCTCTCCCCGCCCCAGCTTCCACAACATCTTCTGGGCGACGCCCTTCATCAACCGCGCCAAACCGCGTAGACATGCAGGGCATCACGGCGGGCCCGGCTGCCATCTTTCAAGAGGCGGACGAGCGCGGCTTCCTAGTGCAGCAGGAGGGGGGAGGCTCTCAGGTGAGGGGAAAGGGGGGGGGGGGTTCGCAGGTGGTGGGGGTGAAGGCTGCTCCCCTCACTGCTTCCGCCTGCGCTTCCTGTGCCATGCACTCTTCTCAGGTTGCTGCGCCCGGTTCCCCCCCCCAACCCCCTTCAGATAGTGAAGTGGTGGAAGGGCGAGGGCGGGCGCGTGGACTTCACAAGCGAGGCGCGGTGGCGTTCTGGCACGGCGCCATGAACACGACGCGGCAGTGGCCCACTGCGCGTGGGTTTAAGTGCGACGACGGCGAGGGCAACTACTTCCTGCCCGGCGCTGCGTTCCACGATGGCTCACCACTCTCACTCATGAAGACCCGGGTCAGAGCCCCCACCCCCGCATGCACCTGCTCTCTGCTCTCACCCGTGCATGTTGTTACGTCTGTGCAGTGCTGTGTGCTCTCACCCGTGCATGTTGTTACGTCTGTGCAGTGCTGTGTGCTCTCACCCGTGCATCTTGTTACGTCTGTGCAGTGCTGTGTGCTCTCACCCGTGCATCTTGTTACGTCTGTGCAGTGCTGTGTGCTCTCACCCGTGCATGCTGTTGCGTCTGTGCAGTGCTGTGTGCTCTCACCCGTGCATCTTGTTACGTTTGGGCAGTGCTATGTGCTCTCACCCGTGCATGTTGTTACGTCTGTGCAGTGCTGTGTGCTCTCACCCATGCATGCTGTATCACCCTGCACGTGTGCCATCGACATCCCTGGACTATCCATGCGCTACCCGCCTCTGTACCCGTCTGCGCTGCTCGGTACGCGTCCGCTTCCCCTCCTGCGCTGCGCGCCATGGTGCTGTCAGCCATGGTGCTGTCAGCCATGGTGCTGTCAGCCATGGTCCTGCCAGCCATGGTGCTGCCAGCCATGGTGCTGTCAGCCATGGTGCTGCCAGCCATGGTGCTGTCAGCCATGGTGCTGCCAGCCATGGTGCTGTCAGCCATGGTGCTGCCAGCCATGGTGCTGCCAGCCATGGTGCTGCCAGCCATGGTGCTGCCAGCCATGGTGCTGCCAGCCATGGTGCTGCCAGCCATGGTGCTGCCAGCCACGCCCTTTTTAAGCGCTAGGGATCCTCTCTGTCCGTTCCACTCGCCATGGGTGCATGACCCTATGTCTGCATGTGTGTACCACCCATGCATGCGGCATGGCAGTACGTGGAGAAGTATCTGGGCGCCATGGGTCGTTCATTGACAAGTACCTGGACGGGGATGGCGTGCTCATGGCCAGGAGCGGCTTCACAGGCACGGGCAAGTGAGTCGCGCTACCACCAACTGTACGTCACTCACGCTCCACCAACTGTACGTCACTCACGCTCCACCAACTGTACGGCACTCACGCTTCGCCTTGCCCTGTCCGCTTCGCCCTCCATCGCTGCCATGCATGTCCTCCAAATTCCTCTTCCCCCCACACCCCCCCCACACCTTCCACCTTTCCGCCGTGCAGGTCGTTTGTGTGGGCGGGCGACCAGCGCGCCAACTGGAATCGCACAGAGGGCTTCCCGTCGGTGATCATGGCGGGGCAGACAGCGGCGCTGTCGGGGTTCTTCCTGTGGGGCAGCGACATCGCGGGGGACTTCGGCCACTCCATCGACAAGGAGCTCTTTGTGCGCTGGGCGCAGTTTGGGTGAGCTGAACAGCTTATGGTCTTCGGCCTGCTTCAAGGGCCAATGCGCAAACACAGGCACCAATGCGCAAACACAGGCACCAATGCGCAAACACAGGCACCAATGCGCAAACACAGGCACCAATGCGCAAACACAGGCACCCAATGCGCAAACACAGGCACCAATGCGCAAACACAGGCACCCAATGCGCAAACACAGGCACCAATGCGCAAACACAGGCACCAATGCGCAAAACACAGGCACCAATGCGCAAGCACAGGCACCAATGCGCAAGCACAGGCACCAATGCGCAAACACAGGCACCAACGCGCTCAAACAATAGTACCAACATCTCTCTTCCCCCACCAGCGCGCTGTCCCCCCAGGTGCACCAGTCTTGGCAGACCAGCAAGTTCTTGTCTCTCCATGCCTCTCACTCCCCCCTCCAGCGGGCTCTCCCCCCTTTAAACAGTTCGTACCCTCCCCCTCCACATGCTTCCCCCGCCCCCAGAGCGCTGTCCCCCCTGATGCACCAGGCGGGCAGGCCACCAAGCCCATGTCTCTCCATGTCTCTCCACTGCCCCCCCCCCCCCCCCCCCGGCTTCCCCCAGCGCGCTGCCCCCCCTGGTGCATCCTTTTAAACAGTCTGTATCCTCTCCACTACCCCACCCCCCCCCCCCCCCCCAGTGCGCTGCCCCCCCTCATGCACCAGTTCGAACAGTTTTTGTCCTTCCCCTTTGCCACCCCTCCCCCCCCCCCCCCCCCCCCCCCCCCCCCCCCCCCCCCACAGCGCGCTCTCCCCGTTGATGCACCAGGCGGGCAGGCCAACGAGTCCTTGCCTCTCCATGTCCTCCCCCCCACCCCACCCCAGCGTGCTGACCCCCCCTCATGCACCAGTTTGAACAGTTTGTGTCCTTCCCCTTTGCCCCCCCCCCCCCCCCCCCCCCCCCCCCGCTTCCCCCAGCGCGCTCTCCCCGCTGATGCACCAGTTCGGGCAGGCCAACAGTGGCCCGTGGGACTACGACGCGCTCACGCTGCGCATCTACCGCCGCTTCGCGCGCCTGCACATGGCGCTCTTCCCGTACCTCAAGGCGGCGGCGCTGCGCAGCGCCACGGCGGGGGAGCCCATTGTGTGCGCCATGGCGCTCTGCTTCCAGGGGGACGCCCAGGCCGCCGCCTCGCAGTGGGAGTGGCAGTACAGGTTCGGCCCGGACCTGCTGGTGGCGCCGGTGTACGAGAGTGGAGTGAGCAAGGCCACGGTGTACCTGCCGCAGGGCAGCGCGTGGGTACACTTCTGGGCCGCCAACGCCGCGCCCCTGGAGGGCGGGCAGGCGGTGGAGGTGGCGGTGCCGCTGCACGAGACTGCGCTGTACGTGCGCGCGGGGGCGCTCATCGAGAGCATCGAGGAGGACGTGGACACGCTGCTGCCGCCCTCAGCCACGCTGCACCCCGATGTCAAGACCGTTGGCAGGTGCGCATGGTGCAGTGGGCAGGTGTGTGTTGCCTTTGCAACCTCGCTTACAGTGAAGAAGCCCATTCTCACACAAGCGCACTGGACCATCAACCAACCATATCATCCTCGTTTTGCATTTTCTCGCTCTTGCTGTTGCGCACCATGTCCCACTTCCCCTCACATCCCCAACCCTCCTTCTCCCCCACCCACCCCCCCCCCACCCCCCCCCCCCCACCCCCTGCACAGCGTGTGCATCCTGCAGGTGTGGCCGGGCGTGCCGTCCCCCTCGTCGTCCCTGGCGTCGCTGTTGGCGCCCTTCCAAGCGGCGCTCTCCGCCCGCCCCGTGGCGCAGGCGCACCGCCGCCACCGCCTGGTGCTGCAGCTGAGGGCGCAGGAGCGGGTGGAGCTGTCGCTGCGCTTCATGCACGGCGAGCGCCTGGGGCACCCCACCGTGCGGCGCGGCACGCGCGAGCAGGTGGGCGTGGCCGTGCGCGGGGGGCAACTACCTGGGCGTGGAGGGGCTGCACTGCGCGCTGGCGCTGGAGGCTGGGGTCACGGAGGTGTCGTGGGAGTATGGCGGGGTGACACGCGCCTGCTAGGGAAGGGACTGTGCGTTGGTGAGAAGGCGGCAGTAATGTGCTCAGTAGACCCGTTCAGTGGATCATTACTGAAGCAATGGGGAGCATGATGTGATGATGGAAACCACTGCATCTTGATCCGTTGTAAAGACAGTATGATCAACTCAGCATCGTCTGCCATGGCGTCGACACCTATTGGCCTCAAGCCCATTGGCAGGAGCACTAGCAGTGCATCCCTCCCGACCACGCTGCGAGATTCAAGACGCCTGCTGGAAGCCGCAGAGGCGCATTGCTGGCGCCCAGCGCACACTCATACGGCCTGAACGCACTGCAGCGCACTGGCCCACCTGGGCTGGAGGGGTGGAGCGAAGAGGGGGGAGTGGGGGGTTGTGTCAGGGACTGGGAGTGACGAGGGGACCAGACAAGGCTCCTCTGCAGGTGGGTGGGTGGGGAAAGGGTTGCTGAAGATGGCAAGGGGATTGCGTTGCGCATTCGTGGCATCAGCTCGCTGTACGTCGGAGCACCCCTGCCCGTTGTTGCATTCCCGCCCTCCCACCCATTCCGTGCCGCACAGCACCCCTCAGTAACGCGTGCGACTCACATGGGCACTGGGCCACCCAAACAACACCGCCTCGTGCAGTACGTGCATTAGCTGGCTACAAGGCTTGCTTAGTTGGACTGTCCACAACACAATGCCTTGGACGGATTCTCTCATCGTACGTTACAAGAGGTAGTTCTGGGAGATCAAACAGAATCCGTGGTGGTGCCTGCACTGGGCTGCAGCATGAACGACGTCAGCAGGGGGCACCCCTTCCACTCCAGCACAGCCACGCCATGCCTCACCTCCACCCTCAACCCCTCACGGCTTGCCCCCATGGCCGCTGCAGCGCCTTCCACCGCCTCCTCCCCCATGGCCACCACCTCAAAGCCCAGGCGCGTGGCGCGCGCGTGCCAGGCGTGCGCTGGCTCGGGGCGCGTGAGGCGGTTGATGCCCTCGCATGCCACGATGTTGGCGATATCTGCCCCAAGCACGCGCGCCTCCACTGCGCTGCGCTGTGCGTCAGACAGCGGGCAGCAGGGCGCGGCCAGGCAGTCAAACCACGCGGAGTAGTGGTCCAGCGCGGCTTGAAAGCGCGTGAGGAAGAAGGGCGAGTTGAGGCCCGCCTCCTGCTCCGTCACCACCACGAGCAGCGGGCGCAGGGCGTGGATGGCCTGCATGCATGGAGGCACATGCAGCACAGGCACACACGCCAGCCAGGGAGCGCAAGGCGGGTACAGCAGTTGCCCCCCACCAAGACATGGGCGTAAGTATGCACACGCAAGGGAGAAATCGAAAAACGTGAACCCGGTCCCCTCCACCTCTGCCCAATCATTCCTGAGCCCTGTGAGCATGCGGCGGCGCACCTGCAGCAGCGAGTCCCGCGGGTTGGCTCGGATGACGGATGCGTCGCACAGCTGCTGCAGCAGCAGCGCCGCACGCACCAGCACCACCTCGCCCTCACGCACGCCCAGCGCCGCCCTTGTCACCCCCTGCACGCCCACGCGCACCACGCGCACCGCCACGCGCAGCCCCAGGGCGCGCGCTGCTGCTTGCACTTGCTTTACCAGCTCAGGCGGCGGAGGGAGCGGAAAGCGCTGGACGCAGGGGGCGGAGGGGGAGGGTGAGGGCGCAGGCACGGTGGGGGCAGAGGCATGCAGGGCACCCGAGGGGTGAGCCCAGTGGCGGCTCACACTGTGTGCTTGCTGCACGCGGGTGGGGGCAGCGGTGGGGGCAGGGCGAATGGGGTGTGCGGCATGCAGCAGCATGCTCTGGTGCACGCAGAGGGGAGGACAGTGCTGGTGCAGCGGGCAGCGGCAGCGGAAGCGGCAGTGGCAGTGGTAGTGCAAGGCAGAGGTGGTGATGAGCCGTGTGGTGGAAGGGACGGCGGTGAGGGTGGTGTGTCTCCGTGCTGCCCTCTGCACTGCTGCAGTCGTCCCACGTGCCCCCTTCACTGGCCTGATGCCGCCATGCCATGCCCATTGCTGCCCGCCACCCCTGTGCTCCCACTCATCCCCGCACCGCCGTCTCCTGCAGCCTCGCCCGCACCAGCCGCAGCAGCAACCGGATCACCAAGTGCTGCGCGTGCTGCCCCCAGACCATCCCCAGCCCCACCAGGCATGGCAGCACGAGCAGCATCCAGAGCAGGCAGAGCCAGCAGCAGCGAGGGTGGGGCGAAAGTCGTGAGTGGGATCAACAGCAGGCCGCAGGCGAGCAGGCGACCCACGTGCACACCCGCTCAGCACCGCCCTTGGCAGATGCGTCCGGTGTAGTGGGTGGCGCGGAGGAGGCAGGTGCAGGCGGGTCAGCGGTGGTGTTGCCGCCTTGCAAAGGCAGCAAGGGGGCGCGCAGGGCGCGGAGGGGTGGGCGTGGAGCAGGGTGCACGAGGGTGAGGCGCAGGCACACGTGGCGCTGCAGCGGCCAGGCCGCCAGGGCGGAGAGCAGCGCGTGGCAGTGCGGCACGTGGTGGTCGCCCAGCTCCCACCACATGCACCACCAGGGGGGGGGGTGACGCAGGGGGGGCGCTGGGCGGACGCCAGTGTGCTTCACTCGTGAATCAGATTTAGGATCCGCTGCCTTCTCCTTGCCACATGAGGTGCTCTCTTCCCCCCGCGCCCCCTCACACTGCCATCGTCCCTAAGACTGCTCCCCTCCCTCTCTGCGCCCTCCCCTACCTCACTCTCTCCTACACTCCTCGCCCTCCCCTCGTCGTTGTCCTCTGTGGTGCTCCCCTGCCACTCCTGCTCCCCCTGCAACACCACTCGCCCCACCGTGCCGTCTCTCTCCATGCTGCACTGCCCTCCCCTCCTTGCCACTCCCACCACCACATTGTCACCAGCAGCAGCGTCAGCAGCACAAGCTTCAGCAGCATGGTCCCCAGCAGCAGCTTGTGTGTTGGAGTGGTGGCGTGAGAGGGCGGGCAGGAGCGCATGGTGCAGGGCGTGGGTGGCAGCACAGCAGAGGAAGTCGCGCAGGGCCGGCGCGCCCAGCACACACGGCAGGGCACCGCTGAGCTCCTGCACAGCGCAGCGCGCATGCACATGCACATGCGCATGCACATGCACATGCACATGCACGCAGGGGAAAGAGCGATGGCAGGGCAGGCAGAGGGAGCAGGCGTCCGGAGAGGGCAGATGAGTGCCACGGTGAAAGGAACGCGAGCACGAGTGGTGGCGAGACGATCACAAGAGTGAGCGGTGCGGTGGATTGGCGCAGGGGCATGGCGGGTGGTGCGACCACGCACAGCAGGCAGCCCCGGGGATGCCATGCTGCATAGACAGGTACAAAAAGCGCGTGCGAGCAATGAGGCTGAGAGACAGCCGTGCTGGCGCCCAAGCCAAGACGCCTGTGGCAGAGTAAGACACGACACCCAGAACGTGCACGCACCCACCCGCTGCACGCCCATGAGCATGCTACCTGCTCCATCGTCGCCCCCTGCAGCACGTGGCCTGTGCCCGTGGCCCGCGCGGAGAGTGCGCGCACGAAGTGGAAGGCGGCGCGCTGCATGGGCGAGCCCAGGGGGTCCGCCTCCTGCCCCACGTGCTGCAGCAGGAAGCGCGCCCGCAGCTGGGGGGGGGGGGCGGGAGAGAGGGGGGAAGAGTGGAGCAGAAAGGGGAGAGGAGAAGCAAGGGAGGAGTGGAGGGTGGGGAGGGACTTGGAGAACGAAGGTCACGACCGATGTGAGCGCACATGGTGACATGCAACACATGTGGTGACCTGTGGCAGACATGCTGACACGTGGCAGACATGACGACACGTGGCAGACAAGATGACACGTGGCATACATGATGACATGTGCCAGTCATGATGACATGTGGCAGACATGATGACATGTGGCAGATATGGTGACACGTGGCGGAAATGTTGGCTTGGCTGTCTCACATCATCATGAGTGGCGATGGCTTCAGCCAGCGAGAGCAGCTGCTTCTTCAGCAGCCGCACCAGAATGCTCTCCACACCCGCCTCCGCCGCCTCCTCCTCCGCCGCCTCCCCTCCGCTCCCTCCGCCCCTCGCCCCACCGCATGCCGCTCACTCAACTGCCCCTGCCCTGCCATGTCCACCTCTCTTGCCGCGTGGCCTGGCATGCTACCGCACCCACCAGTGCGGCCAGCAGCATCACCACCGTCGGTGGCTGCCCCCGTATGGTCAGTAGCAGCAGCAGCATCCGCCGCTCTCCCCTCGTGCATGGGCGCACGGCCACCACCCTCCGCCCACGGCATCGCCCGCCCTGCACCGCACCTCGCACCCATCCCTGCTCCCTCCACACCACAGCCCCTCTTCCCCCCTCGCCCCTCATTCACCATGCCATCTCCCCCTCTCCCCCATCTCCCCCATCTCCCCCATCTCCCCCCTCTTCCCCCCTCGCCTTGCGCTTCCCAACGCCCCTCTCTCCACTTCCCCTCCACCCGAACCCCTCCCTGTCTCTCGCCCCAGCATCCGCATCCCCTACCCCTCGCCCACTGCTTTCCCCTGCTAACCCCTGTCCGCCAGCTTCCCCCCCATCACCGCTGCCCAATGCCCCCAATGCCCCCAGTGTCCCCGGTGGCCCCACTGCCCGCGGTGGCCCCACTGCCCGCGGTGGCCCCACTGCCCCCGGTATTCCCAGCGCCCCCAGCTGATCTTTCCCGCCGCTGTGGGGAGGTTGCGAGAGGTAGCGCGTGGCGAAGCCCCCCGCGCTGCCCACCTTCACCAGCGCGCCCCTGACCATGACTTGAGGCGCCACCCGCCCCTCGCCCTGCGCCACCTGCTGCATCCACACGCCCTCGCGTCCCCAGGCGGCAGGCGGTGCACTCGACTCACCCATCCACCGCCTCGCAGCACCGGCATTGGCAGCAGCAGCAGCGTGAGGCGCACGTGCACTAAGGGCTTTTTCTAGAACGGCCATCGTTCCTGCGGGCAAGGCTGGCCCAGCCAACGCCGCAGCAGCGGCAGCTGCTGCGGCTGCGTGTGGCGGGTGCGGTGCCATTGACGACGGCCGCGCGTCGCCTGTGGTCGCAAGCGCCCTCGTCTCATCCCTCACTGCCTTGCCACCACCGCCGCTGCTGCTGCTGCGCCTTGCCACACCGCTCGTGTGCGGCGGCGCTGGGTGCATGGCGCGCAGGGGCTGGTGCGGCACCATCCGCCTTGCCACGCCGTCCAACGCCGCCCCCTCCTCCACACGCCTCGAAGCTGGAGGTGACGAGGGCGACGAGGGCAGTGCAGCGACGGGATGCGACGAGGCGCCGCTGAGGGCCGGCGCTTAGAGGCGTCAGCCTGAGGAGGCGTGAGCGCAAGGGAGGGGTTTGGCACGAGATGATGCGCGTGGAGTGGAGCCAGCTGGGCGCGCTGTAGTAGCCGGAGGTACTGCGACGCAACCCTAACGCGAGCCGAGGGCGAACGAGAGGGAGCGGGGGCAATGCTTGAAGTCACGGCAGGGCGTGAACCCCGCGGGTGCAGCACGGCGTCTGAACGTGGAGCAGAGGAGCAGAGCGCGCACGTGGATGGCGAGCAACTGGTGGGATAGTCGCGTGGCATGCATGGCTTGCCTTGCATTCAGCTTTGCGCGGCCTTCCAGGTGTGGTCCAACACTCGGCTGGAAAATTCCAAAGTGGGGGCCATGGAACAGAAGAAATTTTCGCGAATGTCGATTTCCAAGGTTACGCTTGTCGTCAAAGTCGCAAATTAGCTCTCTGCCTAGAAGATCTTCGCGAAACTGGGCTCGCTTCCACGTTTTCCTGTGTCG